GTAAGATAAATATCAGTTTAATGTTTTTACTTTGCGCAGATCCCACAAGCCTTAACTTGTGTCTTTCCTATAACGAATTGTCGAAGAAATGACGTTAGTCACTTGGTATTTGTTTAATGGAACTTACTTCTCTTGCTTCTTTAAGTACTACTACTTCTCTTGTTACGAATTGCTGTGAATGATTGTCATGCTATTCACCAAGTCTCATGCATCTCTAAGTGTTTTGTTCATCAATGCTCCTGCATTTGCCGCGTCTATGATTTTCCTATCGATGGAAGTCAAACATTCATAAAAATATTGAATTAGTGATTGAATGGGAATTTGGTGTTGAGGACATATAATAAGTAAAGCATTAAAGAGGTCCCAGTACTCAAATTGTATGTTGTTGGATTATGCATATCTCTTCCCTCATGTGTGTAGCTCGTGAGGCGGAAAAATACTTCGTTAGAAACTTCCTCTTAATGTCAGTCAATATAGTGATACTTCCGGAAGGTAGATTGAATAGCCAATCTTTCGCAGCGCCTTTTAGTGAGAAGGGAAAAATACGAAACTTGATTTGATCTTCTGTTACTCCTAGTTACTTCATATTTGTGTAGACGACATCAAATTCTTGAAGATGCTTACGCGGCTCTTGTCCTAATAAACCATGAGAAGAAGGCGACATATGTATAAGTCTCATTTTCAATTCAAAAGCAATATTACCGTCTATCATCGGAAATGTCATGCATAGATGCTGCTGAGTCAAGTTAGGAGCTGTTAGCTGCCTTAGTGTTCTTTGATCCATATCTTCTTTCAGCTCAAACTCGTAATAACTAAAATCACTAGATGATTTTAAAGCTAAATATTTCTGGTGATTTTTCCTAGTTTCTTTTCTCAATTGATGCGTAGTCCTCTAAATCTCGGGATCAAAACTCAAATCTTGTGCAATAAGATCTCGACATAAACTAGAAAAAGTCAGAATTTTTAAAATGACATAAAAACAACCAAAGATAAATTATACCAATTAAAATTTTCCGGCAACGGCGCCAAAATTTGACAGCGTTCATCACACACTGCCAAAATTAAATAATCGGGTTGAAGGAAAGAGCTCAAAATCTTTTAGAAAGAATCTTTCTCCTTCTTGCCGTTGTGCGATTACACCCTAGCACTGTTCTGCACTGTTATATCCTCTTATGGGTCTTGAAAGTGGCGGCCCCTTCTTGATTTTATTTAATTTTTCCCTAATTTTGTAATAATTAGGCTTTTGGACCTTTTATAATAATAATAATAATAATTATTATTATTATTATTATTATGTTAAGATGGTGGAGTTAGTCAGGGTTATAACTAACTAGGTGGTGTAAATATGAATTTTTCTTCACTTTTTTTGTGCCAATTACGGCAATTTTGATATTTTCCCCTCTGCAAAAAGCAAATAAATAATACGTGTATAAAATAGGTAAAATTCAATCAAAATAAACCAAATTTGACAGCGTTCATCACACGCTGCAAAATTAAATTAAATAAACCTACTTCCACAATAAAGAAGAACTAGGGTCGTCTCCTTAGGAAATAAAAAAAGTTCAAATTTTGGTTGTTTAATACTCCCTCCGTCCCACATACCATGTCCACGTTGCCGTTTCTGTCCGTCCCACATACTATGTCACTTTCCTTTTTTTGAAAATGATTACACACTTTAATCTCATTTTAAACTTTTTAATTTTATTTTTTTAAAAAATTTTAATTGAACTAATTAGTTATCTTAATCTTAATTTATAATTATTTATATTATCGAATAATTATTTTCACTAATACATTCTTAATTATCTACTAATTAAACCCCTCCTAAAATACCGTGTCTACAATGTAGCAGACACGGTATGTGGGACGGAGGGAGTATATAGATATATTCAAAGGGAGATTTTCGAAGTTGAAAATAAAAATAAACATAAAATAACAAAGTAAAATTCTACGGCTAAAAGTTAACTTCAATAAAAAGAAGTTTCTAGTATAGGAATGAAATTGACATTGGATAGTAGATTTGATCATCGGTAAATATTTAATTTTATTGGCTTCTAAATAATTAGTTATAATTACCGACACACGCCTAATAACCAACTTTTCCTTATTTACTCGACAGTCAAAGTACGCCTGTCAACTGCTTTCTTAATTAGACTAGAACCTTAGTGACGTCACAAGAAATTTACTAGCCTAACCGTGTTATGAATTAGAATAGCATAATTCAATTTAACAATTACCTACACGGAATTGTGTAAAATTGATTTCGTGATTTTCTAGTGGTGCTTCCCACTAGTTGCTACTTGAACCTAATTAAAATGCAATTATAGATGCCTAATTTAGTTTAGCAATTAATATTTAATCTAATTGAAATACCTGGTCACAATACCCAACTAAATCAAAGATTGTTAAACATTAAAATCAGAAATCATATAACAAAAATAACAAAAATAAACATTGCCTATGATTAATCGGATTGACGGAATGAACTCGAAATCTTCTTGGATGAATCTTTCTCATTCATGCCGTTGTGCAATTTCTCTTGAAATTGTTCTGTGTTATCCTCTTTTGGATCTTGAAAGTGGCGCCCCCTTCTTGCTTTTCTTTTCTTTTTCCCTAATTTTGTAATAATTGGGCTTTCGGGCCTTTTTTTAATTTCTTTTTATGTCAAAATGGTGGAGTTAGTCATGGCCATGACTAACTCGGTGGTGTAAATATAAAATTTCTTCACTTTTTTTTGTCGATCACTCCAAATTTGATATTTCTCCTCTGCACACTGCAAAACATGTATAAATTATGTAGAATTCAATCGAAATAAACCAAATATTGGATATACTATAAATATTTAAAACATGCAATTTCTAACTATCATTAATTGAACTTGCAACTATGTCATATTTATTTATTTATTATTGCCAAATTTTGGATATATGATCCATTTTATTATAGAAGACCCAATCAAATTTGTAATTCAACATTTATTTTCGACAGTATGCGTTTGTTCAAATTCGATTATAACTGCTACATATTAATTTGTAGTCTCTTTGGGTGGCACATTTTGTATGTCATTCCGATGTATTCAGTGTTTTATTAGTTTGCTTGATTATTTTAATGAGTCCAAAAATTAATTATTGTTCGTATAGCTTTCATCTTTATTGGGCATATATATTTTTTAATATGAATTTAATTAGCAATAAATAATACTACATTTTATTAATACCCTTAAGGGTGTGTTTGTTTGGGGGATTGGATTAGATTTCCACTATTCATCCTATTTTTTCACCCAAAAAATATCAAATCAAACACTTATTTTTCATTTTTTATATTATACTAAAAATCAATTTTACATTCAAAACATCACATCATACAACTATTCAAATTCAAAATTTTTACTATTCAAATTCCAACTCAAAATCCAAACCCCCAAACAAACACACTTATAAGAATGTTGATTGCCCAAAAGTGTAGTAAGCGATTAAATAATTACATGCATGTTTAATGACATTGAATGTGGTGATTATAATTTGGTTATTTGCATGCGAATAATATATGTGTCCAAAGATGAGTATTTGTTTCATACACTACTTTATTGTCAATATATAATTGTCAAAACAAGTTTATCACTTCCAAGTCAGTAATTTATCCAAAGATAGTGATGTTGCTTGATAACTTGATAACTTATGATGTCATTGCTAGTTTATTTTTAAATTCACATATGCAGCATTCAATTTCTTATTAGCATTTTTTTTTAATAGAATCAGACTCATATGCATTGAATATAATTTGATTCTAATTTGTTTTAAAGAAATTAGAAATTAATTGATAATACTTGCAACATTTTGATGGTGAAAATCAATTATTTAAAATTGCTAACCTCTCTTGTATAAGATTTTTACTTGATAAAAGAAGTGTTTATATATGTATTTTAATTCATGTGATTATTTTTTGGTCCAAATATAGTTGATAATTGATAGAATGAATTATACACTTGTGTTAATATGTATGAGTTTTATATGACATTAATTTATATGAATGGTGAATCAATCCAAAAACTAATTTATTATTTGACATTACTTATTATCTGTATAATTATTGCAATAAGTTAGACTGCTAGCAATCAATATTATTAATCCTCATTGATATTGCAGTTTGTGTCTTTGGTATAAATATGTTAGGGTTATGATCTTAGTTCTAGACACAATATTCATTATTTTTCATATCTCGTGAAAGTACCGGCGGAAATCTAAGAGTATTCTCAAGAGACGTTGCATCATATGTTTGAAGAACACAATACCCTTAATTAATTCACAAATTGGCTACACTAAGGAACTAGGTTATATTTATTTGATTATCTTAATTATTTCAATATAATAGATTTTGGGCCTAGGGTTTACACTACCATAATTTTTCCGTTTAGGCTCGTAATTAGCTTCGAAATCAATTATGATACTACTAAAAAATAATATAAATAATATTAAATATTTTTCATTTTAATAGTTTCGAAATTTCTGATGCTATTTTATATAGTATTATTTATTTTAATAGTTTCGAAAATTCCGAGGCTATTTTTTATATAATAATATTTTTTTAAATGGTTTCAGAAATTCCGAGGGCATTATGAGATTGTTGCTATGAGATTGAAATTTTCTTAGACTATTGAAAAGAACATTGAAATTTCTGAAGCTTTATTATATTTATATTATTTTCTTTTAATAAAAAAGACTTGGAAGTTTCCGAGTCTATTAACTGGTTTCAAAATTTTTGAAACTTCAGTAGTTTCAGAATTTTCAAGATTATATAATATATGTATATAATTTATTAATTAAAAAAGATTTGAGACAATGTCCAAGGCTAAAGGGAAATTGGTTTGAAATCAATTTATTTTTTGAACCAATTTTTTTTCCGAGGCTAAAGAAACAAAATTCTGGTACTGTTAATTCTTGATAAATTCGAACAGTCTTCACGTAGTGTTTGTTTGTTGAATGAACAATTAATAGTCTATATGCAATTGATTAATAATCTGAGTAATATCAAGCTGAGTTGAATACATAAAAATGCTCTGGGTATGTGTATGTTGTGTATGCATATAGATGGAGATAGCCAGCGAGACAAACAACCAACCATTTTCTAGAAGGAAGCATTGCCAGAATGATGAGTCTGTTAGTTGGATCACGAAATAAAACAAATCATTCATTTGTGCTACTACTAGTACTACTCCTAGCTAGCAAGCAATTGCAAGCTCTTTCCTTACAAACTTGTAGACAGTTACTCCAAGTCTAGAGCCATTAACAGGGCTATCTGTATGGACAGCTTGCACATCAAAAAACTTCCTGGCCTTCCTGAAGAAGGCAGACTCCTTCTTCCACCTCTTCAAATGTGCCATCAGAAACACGCCTGATTTCCTCTTCCCATTCCCATTCCCATTCCCAAGCAGGAAGAACCTCAGCGTCTGGATCAATGGGTCGTAGAGGTGATCGTGGTACACCACATCCGACCCCAATATCACATCGTATTCCAAGTCCAAGTCCAGGTCCTCCATCCGCTGCAGGTCTCCCCAGGGGAGGTGGGCTGCTTTGACTACCCCGCCGCGGAGGGCCAACGACGCGGCGTTGGCATTAATGTTGAATTGCAGATTGGGCAGCACATGGGCAAGGTCTGTCACGGTCACGTCGGCGCCTAGCAAGGCAGCCGCCGCGATCCCCACTAGCCCAGTCCCGGAGCCGAGTTCCAGCAGGCGGAGACGGCCTGAGGTGGAGACGAATAAGGAGGAGATGGAGATTGGAGGGTTGTCGAGGAGGGCGACGAGGGCGGCGGCAGCGGGCCAGAGCTGGAAGGAGAGGCCGTGGGAAGGGAGCTGCCGGATGACGAGGGTCGACTCAATGGACCGGAGCCTCAAGGATGATGATGATGATGATGGTGGTGGTGGTGATTCAACTGCACCGCCGCCTTCTTCAACATCAGAACACTGCATCGACATTACAATATTGACAAAGATTGGCAATGTTAATTGGGATAGGCATAGGGAAAGGAAGGAAGGAAATGGGTGTGACAGAACAGACACCCCAAATTCCAACCCTAACCAAGTGACTTAGCGTGATCAGTTCAATTGAATATTAGGTAATTAATTAATTAATAATAACAGGGCCCACCAATATACCGCCCACTTGGGCAAGATATTCATGCAACTTGCTATTATTATTATTATTATTGTTGTTATTATTATTATTACTATTATTGAAAGTTGGAAGCTACATGCAACTTGCCGTTATTTATTACATGCTGGCGCGGATCCGAGTGGGCTGTTTCCCTATGGGTATAGTGCGCGGATAAGATTGTCACCCCTTTGCTGCTCCTATCTTATATGTATTTATAAATACACATAATATATGTGTATGTATAAACATATATCATCCTGATATTGATTAAAATTCAGGAGTACTTTAATATTTTTAATCATTTAGATTAATTTTATTGACAATCCAACGATTGAGTTTGATTGAGAGTATTTTGGTAATTCAAAAATTAATTAAGATATCTAATTAAAAAAAATTAATTAGAAAATTATCATAACTACCTCCGATAATTTTGGAATTAAATTTTTTTAAACAAAATAAAAACGTTTGCAAATAATTATTTTTAAAATCGTATAAATTCAAATTTTAAAGATGTATACAATATCACAATTAAATTTCTATAATATTATTACGATGTTTTTCATAAAATACTTTTCTTATATAATTTAATTAAACGATGTCCAAGTAAATGCATTATGATATATTCTATCAACTCGTCGATTATGATATAACAATTATTTAAATAAATTAAAAATCAAATATATATATATAAATATTAACCCTTTAACTCTTCCCACCACATCTTATTTAACAAGCCCTAAATTTACCACGCAGATACTTCCTCTCCCGTCGCGCTGCCTCCGTCTACAACACAGTCCGCCGCCGTCGCTGCTGACCTCTTCAGCCACGTCCGCTGCTGCTGTTGACCTCTACAGCCATGCCCGCCGCTGCCATCGTTTCCTTCTCTATCTGCACATCCGCACTTGACAGAAGTCGGCGACAACGCACAGTTCCTCTTCTATTTAGAAGTTCATATTTGACGAATCTTCTAATGACAAATTCAATTAAACGAGATCGCGAGGCTTCTATTAAACCCAAAACGAAGAAAACAAAGCACATTCAAGTACCATCTGTACCAAGAAAAATAGCAGATTTCAACAACGATAAGCTCTTTCGACCAAGCAGACAAATTTGGTGGTTGTGTTTTCAATCCTACGTAATGTTTTTATGGTGATCATGCGTATATGTGCATTCTTGATTAGTCATTTTTAGAAAAAAAAAATATCAACACAGTTATTCCGAAAAGTCTTTTTGTTGGCATTCGGATACGTACGATATATATTCATGACACATATGTTGTTTAACTCATGATAGACTCATGATACTAAATCTTATTGTGCACACTTTTATTTCATGTTATAGTTTATATTTATGATTTACATATTGCATAGTTATGATATATTGATCAGATTTAAACGATGGACTATGTTAGATATATTTTTCACCATTATGTTTATAAATATGATATATAACTTCAGTAGACATGATATATACATCAAATATAAATGATGTAAGTTGCATATATGGATGTTGCACGTATAGTTATGATATATTTCATTTTATGATTTCTATTTATGATTTATATATTGCATAGTTATGATGTATTGTTCAGGTTTAAATGATGGATTATGTTATATATATTTTTCACTATTATATTTACATGTATAACTAAGTGACAACATCCTCTGAAAATATTTGTTTATTATTGGGATAAATTTTACTATTATTTTTGCACTATTTTTTATTGCGACAATAATAAATGTATTATATATTTGATGATAACTTTTTGCCTTTTTGCATTTGTTTTTGCACGAGAAATTTTTGTCTATGCGCATATCTACAATATCACTAAAAAAAATAGTATATTTATAATGGAATTCCATTCCTAAAATTCACATAGCTAACGTAATTACATCTCTAATTCCGTCTCTAATATCATTAGTAACGGAAAAAGTGAATTTAAGAACGAAAAAACCTCGTTACAAAATTAATAATTTCTTGTAGTGTATGAATTGTACGCATCATTGGAGTTTGAAAAAGATGCATTTGTCCAATAGTCGTCACCTGAAGAGTCAAATGATATATTGTTATAAATATGTTGTTTATTTTAATGTAATATTGTTTACGGTATTTAGTATTATGATAGTAACTAAATGAGTTGTTTTCCCTTTTTTTTTACGTAGTATATGATTGGATAAATATTTTATATGTTTTTTAGGCATTTAAATAATGAAAAATAATAAATATGATTTAGTTTGAAGACGGTTTCAACTCTTAATACTTGTAGGAGGTTGATCCTAAATTTAAGCGCAAATTATTTTAATTCAATACTTTAAAATTTAGATAAAGTATACTCTTTATCTTATTGATTTTAAATATAATTTCATACAGCAATTAATTAAATTATATTATAAAATTAAAATTTTTAAGTGAGTACTTACATGAATTCTACAAAAATATAACAAAATTTAAAATTGTCTCAAGAAAATAATATAAACAATTTTTTTAAAAATAATTTCAGGCTACATATCATTCGCATAAATATTGGATTCGACAATTATGATAAATTTAATGTATCTAATTGAACTAATGGAAGCCTGCAAGTCTTCTATTGTTTCGGCCATTGATTAAATAATTCTTGTATGCAACTATTGATACGTTGATTGACTAATACGACTATGATGCATATATATTTAGAAGATGATGTTTAGAAGATATGTATATGATGTAATAAAAATTCATCAATACGTTACTTTCGCGATCAATAAAAAAAATTTACCCCATTCTGTAATTTCTAAAACGTTATCTTCGTCCACAACACACTGAACTGACCGAAATGCACATAATTTTGTTTCATCTTGTTCTACGCTCCGACTTATTCACAATTTATTTTCTTGGATGGATGTCGGTGAAAGAAGATGTAGTTATCTTTTTTTTTTTTGGACGTGAACTGACTAAAATTATGAATACGACCTGTATTTATCTGTATTTATATTCCCTTAATTTATGCTAAAACAAAACATTGACTTATTAATTATTAAAATCAAATTACATATTTACCCCTAACTGCAATCTCATCTGTTGATTAAAATTTTGATTGGGGGTGACATTTTTTTCAGGATGGTCTTGAATATTGTATTCAGGACCATACCCGGATTGTACACATATATATTATATGGCCTCTTCGATGTTTCAGTCTCCGTTGTCCCTATAATAGAATTGTTTATATATATATATATACATATATATGCTTCTTTTGTCATGTAAATTTATATTTATTTGATTGGGCCCAAATTTTAAAAAAAATGGGATAAAAATAGAAAAAAGAATTTTTATGGTAAAAATAATATAGAAAAAATGGTATTTTTTTACTAAAAAAGAAAATGAGAATAAGTTTGGATAAAAAAAAAAAAAAAAGTGAAAATAAATTTGAATAATAGCACGAGTACATAATATATATATTTAAATACATATATAATATAAACGTATGTATATACTTATATATATTACTCTATTCATTTCAATCGAATGTATCTGTTTGAAGTTTAATAGTAAATTTTAAAAAAATAATACTTCTCGTCCTAATTCAAAAAATTATTTTTACTATTTTCATATTTCACATTTCAAAGTATTATTTTTCTATCTTAGAAAAAAGTAATTTTACACTAATACCAAAATACCCTTAATTTTTACTTAAATTATAAATATATCACTACACATACAATTACTTTATACAAAGGGCAAAAATATCAAAATTTCTTACACACTTCTACTAACCAATAAAATATTATTATTTTTAATCTACTACAAAGTCTCTCATTTCAAAAGGGGCGGAGGGAGTAGTATTTATTTGATTACCGAAACTATATTAAAAATTTTGACATTTTTATTCTTTGATTTTATATATAAAGTTATTGTTTGTGTATTGGTATGTTTTTAATTTATATAAAAGTTAAAAATATTTTTCTAGTAAAGTATAATTACTTTTAGTAAAATAGAAAAAAGATATTTCTTCCGTTCGACTCTAAGGTCTCATTTACCTTTTGCGTCATTGTACTTAACATTAAAAATATCTTTATATTTGTATAATTTTTTGCACAAATGTCATTACAATAGTATCATAAGACACTAAAAAAAAATATTTTTGTCATTTCCCCTTAATTTGTAGTATGTTTTTATATAATAATTAATATTTAAAGATCAATACGCAAAAAGTAAATGAAACCCTTAGAGCCGGACATAGATAATATTTTTTTAATAGAACAAATAAAAATAGTAAAAAAGATAATTTGAATTAGAATGAAAGAGATACATGGGAGCACCGCCTGAAGGGGGTTGAGTAGCAGATGGGTTCCTAATAGGTGCTGGATAGTATATATCTCTAAAATTTGCATCTTTCTGGATTTGCATTTTAGTTTTGATTCTTTTAAATAAAAATTAGAATTTAAATAATTGTTTAATATAATATAAAAAAATATTGATATGATATTTTAATATAAAATTAACAAAAATTAATATTGATTCCAATCAAATTTATTTTTTATTTTTATCTACCAACAAAACTCACAAATTTCACTCGATTCACCCCCAAATCACTCAATTCCTAGATCACCTTGATGCGATTAGACTGTAATTCAACTATATTGATTAATCAAGGCCTAAGAACGCTTAGAAAACTACGAACAAGGCTAGCTAGTGCCGGCCAAAAATTACTACTAATTGTGTTTTTTAGATCAAATTCAAGAACATTACTGGCATTTGACAACTAGGAATGGATTGGAACTAGCATTCATTTCTAACAATTATCAACCATTTTACAATCAAAAAAATTCAACAAATCTTCATAACGGACTGGAATTTATAGATTTTCAAACAAAATATAATATAAAAAATAGATTGAAAAAAAAAACGGATTCGATCAAAAACGATTGGATAAAATAAAAGACATTGAGACATATGATCGAACACATTGAGATCAACTCGAAGCAAGTATGATAACCGCTCTGATACCAAATTTTTATGACATGGATAGGATCGAATCCATGACATATAATCTCAATTCAAGAGAAGAATCAACTACGAAATCGAATAAACGAATCGGCAGATAATTTGAAATCAATCAACGAATACTCCTCTCGAGCAAACACCTTCATGAATCTACACGAATTGTTTGAGGCTTGTGAATGCTTCTTCCATCTCTCACGTAAGCTGCATTCCGAAGGCTAAAAAATTAACCCTCTCGGTTGATTGGAATCACTCCAATGGATGGTTGGAATCTCTCCGAAAAGAAGGAAACTTCTTCAAAATAGTAGTTACTTTTCTGAAAATTGTATCGAATATATTTTACAAGTAGAATATAAGGAATATATGCTAAGAAGACCTAATCTAATCTGGGCCATGCATCTAATCTAAAAATCAACGGCTCACAACTTCTAAACAAAGTAATGTCTTTAATCGGGTACAGATCGCGATTGGTCCGCCGATATTCGGGTTCGGGTCACCCGATACCATGTCACTTGCCTAAACGGTTTAAACCGCCGCCTACGATTTCAGTTACGGTTTAAATAGTTTCGGCTGCAGTTTATAAACTTGTTATCAGCTAACAATTAAAATTAATCACAGATTAGCACACCCGAGCGCGTAGGAGTATGCATAGAGACAATAGAGACTTGGCACTCCATGAAGACGTACTATCTCATTGAAAAATAGCTTGGCGATGTAATGGGCATTATTTGTCTTTGCACATGAATGAAATGCATCATCTTTGAAAACATGTCAACCACAACAAAAATAGATTCTTTGACTGGTCCAGTTCTAGGTAATCCTAATAAAAAAATCCATATTAATATCAATGTCATGCATCGCAAAATATAATCCGAAATTTTCTTGTGCATTCAAGGCCAATAAAATTTCTCTAAAAAAAACTTCCATTGTGCTAATGCTTCCCAAAGTGGCCTATCATGTCACCAACATGAAATTTTTGTATCAGTAACTCCCGAATGGAGCATCTTGGGATACAAAGTCGATTGTTGTAATACAAAAATCGCTCATGTTTGCAATACTTTTCATGCCCATGCAACTCACACCAAGCATACACATATTTGAAATCCTCATCAGTGTGGTATAATTCCTTAACATGCTTAAATTCCAATAAATGCGTGGATGCGTATGAAACTAAAGTATACCTATGTAAGAGTGCATCCGAGACGATATTATCCTTACCTTTTTGTACTTGATGGTGTATGAAAATGACTCAATAAAATATACCCATTGTGCGTGCCTTCGTTTAAGTTGTTGTTGCCCCCTCCAGTGCTTCAAAGTCTCAACATCGGTATTGATCACAAACTCTAATGGCATCAAATAATGTTGTCATGTCTTTAAAGTCTGTACCACCGTATACAATACTACTAAAAAAAATTGACTTTTTGTAACAGACAGTAATTCATAAAAATAGATTCGTCATAAAAAGAAGTTTTCGTTACGAAATTAATCGATACAAAAATTTTTTTTTATTGGTCAACTTATTTTTTTATTTGTTTTGATATATATGTATTTGTTAAGCAATTAAAGTCTAACAAAAAAAAAAAAAAATCCTTATTTTAATTATAAGAAAAGTTCATATAAAATTAAAAAAAGTAATTATTTATTTCGAATAATTATTCGTAACATCTACATAACTAAATGAAATATTATCCTAATTGTATTTGTTATGTACTTCAAATTGTAACAAAAGGATTAATTTTATAATTATAAATAACAATTTAAAAAACTATAAACAATATATCTAAAATTCAAAATAAATAAATAAATAAAATAAAAATCAAGAAAAAGGTATAGTTAGACAAAACTCACATCGCCATGGCGCCTGCCTCTGCCCGCACCCGAAGCCGCACCACCCCCAACCACCGTAGATCGCCGCCCAAACCATTTCCGTTCAGAGCCACCGCGACCACAGCTTGTCCATCGCCCATCTTCTTTTTGACTGAGCTAAGGCCGCCGTGAACCACCACCGAATCGACGTGCTCCTCCACTTCTTGGTCCCGACCGCCGTGCCTTCGCTTTCTCCTAGCCCAACAACTCCAACCGATGCCGTCTTCTCCTACTCTCAATCACAATTGTTTGGGTACTTTACTATCTTCCCCTTCAATTGCAGGTGAAATTGTTCCAATTGTGCTTTATTTATGTACACTAATTTTGGAGGAATTTTTTTTGTTGTCCCTCTTCTCAGTCACGATTATTAGGTTAATTGTTTTTATTGTGTTTGAATTAAGATTGAAATTGATTTTTGAAGGAATTTCAGCTTGGTTAGAACATTGGTGTGATATAGGGGTATGTTTAGTTGGTTGCTTTGGACTGATACTCCCGAAGTGACAATTTCGAATTGAATTTGGTTTTTCTTTGGAGTTCTTGTTCTTGTTTTTTTGGTTGGTAGATGATGTTTTGTGAAATCTGATTATTTTTTGGGCATATTCCATGATTTGGATTAATACTTCATAATGATACACATTGTTAATTCTAATTTGAATATAGTCTTCTTTTTGAGTTATTGTTTGTGGTTGCAAGATGTTTTGCGGTGGATCCTCGAAATAATATTAGGATTTGAACTCAAATATGAAACCTTTTGAACTTAAATTAAACTTTAAATTGACTTTTTTGAGGTAAATTGTCTTTGTTGGGCTTAATTTGAGGTTTACGGTTGAGGTTGGTATTGATTTTTATAATGGAATTCAATTTCCCTGCTGTTAGAAGGTATGAGATGGTTTTCTTTTGTTGTGTGAATTAATATTGATATAATGAAGTGAATAAGCATTGGTGATGACTCGAGTGCTTCCCTTGGAATCCATTTTGTATAGTGTTTATGGGCTTCTATAATTAAAAAAATCACAATGAACAATTGTTTCGAGGATCCTACAGAGTGATGACAGAATGATGGCTCCTCTTACATGAATTTAAAGGCTTTGAAAGAATATCTGATTTTCTCCTTAGCTCTATGAAAGAACTCTTCGGTGTCTTCCCACTTCTAGTTGAAACTTGTTTTTTTTCAGTGTTAGATTAAAGTGAGTAATTGCAAACACACTTTTAATGATTTTATGTTTTTTAGATTTTCCTTCATGGAAAATGCACAAATGAACCGTCCTTTTTTATTTTTTTTCTTTATTTAAGGGTTTGCATTTAGTTTCACACTAACTTATTATGAGAGCACGTACATAATCGGTTGGATTTCAGTTACTTCAGTCCATTGTTGAACTCAATAGCACAAAGATCTTAAGACAATCATATTGTTATTGGAGATGATCTGGAAGAGAGGGAAGATTTTATTTCAATGCCCAAATATGGTGTTTGTTTCTTGCAACTTATGCCCGATCAAAATTAAGGTTATTCTCTAACTTTTTTGTCTAGTAGTGTTTTCTGATGCTGATCCACAATGTTGGTAGTCTGCTTTAGTCTTCTAGTTAATTAATAGCATGTTCCTAATTCGACATTCATTTATGCAAATTGAGTGTTAAGTAAGATTCTGAACTGGTTTTCTAAATTCACATGTGATGGAAAGAAGTTAAATAAAAATCATAAAAAAGCCTTCTTTAATGGACTCAAGATATCGAGTCTGTACTTACCTGCTTTATTCCAGCAGTTAAACTAAGTTGAATATGTTTTAATCAGGTTCTACGCTTACATTGTAATAAGATCCAACTCATCCAGTTTAACTCACCATTGTTAACCAGTTCAATTGTGCTCGCCACCATGGATGATTTGTCAGTACAATTTGCAAACGTAATTTTGGTTTGTTGGAGTTTTGCTTCAATGTTGTATTAGGTTGGCTGGATTTTTGTTGGAGTTTTGTATTGGTTTTCCAACTGAACTTTTTGTATGGTTTATGTAGATGATCTCTTGTAGCATGTTGTAGTAGGGCGATGCTCCTTTCAGATGGAAGAGTCGGATTGGCAGGCTGAATTGTTTGATTCTTCCTTCTTGACTCTATGGCTGGTGGGATGTTTGGTATCTCCACTGACCGTTAAGTTGTTCAAACTTGGAAGGATTTTGGCGGCTGGTTCTGTGGCCTTTTGTTTTGGTTTTTGCTGATGGTAGATTATTGCAGTTTAATTGGAGGCATTATATTTATATCTTTGTTGGTGTTGAGGCTTGAATCAACCGATTACTGCTTGTAAATTGCTTGTAGTATTTTTGTTCTAGATTACTAAATTGCAGGTAGAAGTTGAGGCCATCTGAGATTATGTAGAGAAGGAAGAGCAATTGAAAGAGCAGGTATAATCTCTTGTTTCAATTCAAAGAGCAGGTATATTCTTTGAAATTCTTTGCTGGTAGAAGTTGAGGCCATCTCAGATTATGATGTTGAAATCCTAAATAGTTCTCTGAATTCTGATTTATTTTTTATTTATGGAGAGGTATTATCTTTAGACTTTTCTCAAGCTAACATCTGCTTAATTTGACATCTTGAAATGTTATTAGAAGAAAATAAGAATATTCTTGAAAAGGTGTTTTCTTGTCACTGCATGGCATTGCATTTCTCTATCTTATTCTTGGTTTGTGATCTGATATTGGGGCTCCGACTTGCAGAGGAGAGTTGTGAAGCAGTTGCAGCAAGAGTCAGGGAGCTTAAGAAATAGGTCGTTCTATTTTTTGTTTCCAAATACAAACGTATTTGAGTTCTAGCTCAATATATTTTATAGTTATACAAGTTTTGGCTTATATAATTATTTAGCCTTTTATTGATGACAACAATTCTTTTTGTGGCATGTTAACATTAATGTACTGCCCTGCCAATGTTGAGTCTTCAAAGAAAAGCTCTAGTTTGTTTATGAAGAATACATTTTTTAGGTATCAAGAGGCTGTAGGGCTGCATATTGAAGCATTCTGGAAGAGGAATTACCTGGTGGTAGTGGGTGCAGATGAGTTGTGATCTCCATTCTGCTATGGTGGATCTTTGGCATTTCCAATACTTAAATTAGTTTCTCGGTGGGCATGACGAATTATGACTTCCTAGCGCTTTCCTCTACTCTCGTCACCTCTACTATGAGTATTTTGCAGCATCTACAGTTTATGGTGTTCAATTTTGTTGATTAGGTACAATTGATCAGCCCCTCCCTTCAGCCCCCCTCCAAAATTCTGCAACCATCAGCAATTATGCAATCAGGGAAATCTTGGCTTGAATGTTGATAATGTATATAGCTTGCTTCCTGATTATTTTTTTGTATTTGTCTTGATTATTGTACGTTGGATTAGATTGGTTTAGGTTGTTTAATTTATGCTTACTTCCTTAACCTTGGTTGCTGCAGGAGGATAGTCGGTGTTATTCTGTTTCTTAGATTTCATTGGCTAAGATAGGTTGCGCGTCTAATTCACTTAGATTGGTATGGCTGTAAATTGGTAGTTAATTTTAACTTTATTTAGTTGTTTCGGTGTAGAACTTGTTAATTAAATTTGGATTCAAGTTTAGTCGATGTTTAATATAACTATTGTTTAATTCGTTAGTTTAGAATAACTCGCCTCCCCTTAAGATAGCCTAGTTATTTGTTTGTATTTGTACTCAAGTTTGGATTAGTTCGATTAGCCATAATCAATATTTTAGAATTAGATTAGGTGCTGCAAATCATTGATAAGTTAGGTTGTTTTGTAGTTCAATTAAATTAGCCTTGTTCTATTCTTTATTTCATGTATCCTTGGTTCAACATAGACTTGGTTTATATATTGTTGTAGTATAAATTAATTTATATATTTTGCAGTTGACTAGGTTGGCATACAATTAGTGGATTTGTTTGGATTTTGAAAAGTTTTTAGTGAATTTATAAATTCTATATAATCTATGAATAGTTTAATTGATTTTGTTTATTGATTTATATGGATTTTGATAGATTTGATTGGATTATTTATTGATTTTCCTAGGTTTTATTAGATTTTATAAATTTGTAAATTAAATATTCTTTTATTGATTTATATAATTTCAAATATATGCAATACATTTGTATGTATATAAAAAATTTCAAATATTTAAGAAAAATATTAAAAATACATTAGTTTTCAAAAATATATATTTATTATTATTCTCATTTTTATTTTATTTTAATAATAATAATATTTTTGAATTTATATTTTTTGTTACAGTATTATTTTGATCGGATTTATTATATTACATATATTCAGCGTAATTAATTTTTATTTTGTAACAATCTATTTAATTGTTATTATTATTATTTATATGAATTTTTATACAAAAAACATATATTTATAAATAAAATCACATTAAAATTACAATTTTTATTAATTAAAACTAAAAATAAAATAATTAAAAAGGAATAAACATAAATCGATGGTTTTTAACTGACGGAACTAAAATCGAAATAAGAAATATAAATTAAAATTATGGAAGATTTAATTTTGATTTGGTATTTTTAAACATTAAATTTGATAATTTTAATTCGAACTATTCGAGCAAGTTTATTTGTTATTTTATATATATATATATAATTTTGAATATTATTTCAAATATATAAAACTTTAAAATATTTGTAATTTTTTTATTAAACATTTAAATTTTCTTATCTTATTGATATTATTATAATAAAATAATAAATACATATAAAATAATAAATAGTTATTAATGCTATAAATAAAATTATATGTATTTTTTTACTAATTTTGAGAATGCATTGAAATCTCACATCATAATAAGAGATTTTATAGTGTAATTTGTTAACAATTTTATTAAAGAATCTAACAAAATCCATGAATTTTTAAAGTCCATGATTGTTGAATACACCAAAATTTTTAAAGTCTTTCTAGAATCTGAATTGAATACACCCAGATTTTAAAAGACTTTTAAAACTGTGAATTGAATACACCAAGATTTTAATAAAAATTTTAAAATTTGGATTGAATACACCAGATTTTGAGAGTCCAATCAAATCCAATAAAATCAATATTGAATACACCCCTAGTTGAGGTAGTACTTAGCTTAGTGCTTATATTTTGTTTGCATCAATTTGTTAGGTTAATAATTGGTGTAGTCTTGTTAGTTTAGTTAGCAAATGCCTCTTAAATCAAATTAGCCTTGATTCTTTAAATAGATAACTTTGTCATAATCTAATTCCATTAGGATAAAATTTTACATTAGTAGTAGTGTCGAACCAGTATTGCATATAACATATTTAATCCCCTGCAACTTAATCTCATTTCTAAAAACTTAGTTTTGTCCAAATTCTATATGATTGTTGTTGTAACTTTTAGCTTAGTCTCTTTAAGGATTAGGCTGTGTTGTTTAATTTGGTTATATATTAGTGCATTATTAGTTGTAATATCTTGTGCAATCGTTTGGTTAATCATCTCTCCGTTATTGTTAATTGTTTGTGTAATTAGTCAGTGAAATGACTTTGACATACAAAGTTGTAAATACACTTTTTTTTATTAGTTTTATTCTATTGAGAACTAAATAATTTCAATTGTAGTAATGATTTTTTATATATCTTTAGCTTTTCATTATAGGTGGTTCGCCTCTCTTGGTTTCTTGCCTTCGTGATTATGCAATTAATAAGTTTGGTCCTCCAAAGAAGTCTTTCTTAACTCGTTTTAAAGATTGTACTATATTTTGGTGATGAATTGATCTTTTTACGTATTATATTTTTAATTCAAGGGTCGTATATTAGTTAGTTGTTATGATGGTCTAGGGCACACTAATAGTTGGGGATGTTTCAAAGTACTATTGACGGTTATGTTTCTACTTTTGGTATGTCTAGTAACGTTGTTGCATTGACTTCATTTTGTAGGATTTGTTAAGTTTTCGGATTATTTATGGTAAATCCTTCTTTTAGTTATATGTCACAGAGTTAGGTCCATAACAAATAAGAAGTCAAATGTATTTCTTTTGTTGCGATAAAAACTTTTTTGATGCAGATAGGCTTTTTGTACCTTACTTTTTGTTACAGATATTTTTCAGAACAAAAGAAGTTTCAAAGTACCACATTTTTTGTTACGAACATATTCGTAACAAAAAAATCTCGAACATGAGGTCTATTTTTTGTTCCGTATTTTTTGTTATAGAGATATTTCGCTACAAAAAGTTCTCTGACAAGATCATCCTTTTTTGTACCGTAGTTTTTGCTACGGACATATTTCATAGAAAAAATATAATCGCATTTTTTTTGCGTATGAGAAAAAGTAAAAAATATAATTAACACATGCATATTAATAGCGTTGACCACCACTTATTTGTTACAGTTTTTTCCGTAACAATGACTTTTTTTACTGAGATTTTACGTAGCGGTCAAAATCTTTAACAAAGTCGACACAAAAGATTTTTTTGCACGAAAATTGGATTTTTGTTACGAATTTTTGAGCGCTTAAAAAGAGCAATTTTTCGGTAGTGCATGCCTTGTCATATGTAGAATAATTCAAGGCAGTCCCTACAAATATTTCACTATGATAGGCTATAGGTCGACTTTCTTGAAGTAAAACTGCACCCATTCCTTTGCCCGAAGTATCAACTCAAGCTCAAAGGTCTTCTCAAAATTTGGTACCACAAGTACAGATACTTGAGTAAGCTTTGTCTTCAATGTCTCAAACGTTTCTTGGTGTACTTGTTCCCAATTAAACGAGACCCCCTTCTTCAGCAAGGAAGTGAGGGGAGCAGTGATCAAGCTAAAATCAGGCACGAACCTCCAAAAAATCCAAACATTCCCAAAAACCTTATAATTTCTCCCACATCTGTTGGATGTGTCCATTCTTTAATTTCTTTTACTTTTGTTTCATCAACCTTCAAGCCATCCTCGTTAACTACAAACCCAAGGAAAACAACTTCATTAGTGTAGAATATGCACTTTCTAAAATTAGCATAGAATTTTTCTTCCCTTAACCGTTGAAAGACTAGATGTACATGCTCAAAAAATATTCTTCTTCACGTTTATTGTAGCAAGAATATCATCAAAGTAGACTATAACAAATATAACAATGAAAGCACGTAGAACATGATTCATTTAATGCATGAAAGTACTAAGAGCATTAGTTAGACCGAATGACATTACCAACCATTTGTATAAACCTAGCTTGGTTTTGAATGTCGTTTTCCACTTATCGCCATGTTGCATATGAATTTAGTGGTATCCACTCCAAATGTGACATCTTGGAGAAAATTCTCACTTCATTGATGTCATCAAACAAGTCATTTAGGCACGGGATTGGGTGTCAATATTTAATGATAATCATATTCACCTCTCTACAGTCCACACACATCCTCTAAGCTCCAACCTTCATGGGGAAAATGATAACAAGAACAGCATATGGTGATAAGCTCTCTCAAACTCATTCCTTCTCAAAAAGTTCTTGAAATTGTTTTTTAATCTCTTTATTCTCATTTGGATTGCACCGATATACAAGACGATTTGGAATCGAAGCACTGGGTATAAAGTAAAATTGATGTTTTATCCCATGAATGGGTGGTAGTCCTTCCGGTAGTTCCTCTAAGTATCCTTCATCTCTTCAAATATCCCAACAAAGAGAATAGAAAAGTTCGTGAGTAGATTATTTTTAACATAATGAAATAAATATTTGCATACAAACTTAAAACAACCCATCTTTTGATGATCTAGGTCATCAACTTCTCGCGAAAAATCGGTAAATGAAAGAAGAATGATGGAACCCTTAGCAAAATACTTTCTTTTCCTCTTCGGATATTTCTTTTTCTTTAGCTCTTTTAAAACTTTCAATTTCTTGCATTTTCCTTCGCAAGCTTTCTTGATCTTTTCGAATCTTTTTCAATGGAAAAAGAGGAATCATTACCTTGTAGCCCTTGTAAAAAAATCTAACCTTGTTAGTCTTACCATCATGGGTAATTCCTTTATTGGATTGCCATGGTCGGCTAAGAAGCACATGGCATGTAGTCATCGGAGTAACATCACAAAAGACCTCCATCCTCTTTGTAGGGAACGATAAAAATTAAAACTTTGGCTTGCCTAATAATCTTCATATCACCACTAGAATTCATCCATTGAAGATGCTATGGATTCGGATAATTGATAGTGTGGAGTCCAAGCTTGTCTATTACATATCAACTTACAATATTGGTACAATTTTCATTATTAATGATTATCGACGCTCGATTTCCACCAATCTTGCACCGTAAATAGAACAAATTCTCTTGTTGCTCTTTAACCTGATCAATAAATTTTTCCGACTCTTTAAAATAGCACCAAGCAATCGCAACTACTAGAGACTCTCCCAATGAATCTTCTTCAAATCTCTCTATAGTCTCTTGGACAATTTTATCCTCACTTTCATTAAGCTCATGTTCCTAATCTTCACCCTTATTATCCGATAGAAGTACATAGTCTCCATTGTCACAAAGTATAACAGATCGCACTCTAGGGCACGCATTAGTTTAATGACCTTTCCTTAGGCACTTAAAACATGTGATATCCTTTGCTTTGTTTGGTGAACCATTCTTGTTGCCTTTCCTTTGTTTATCACGCTTAACCACCTTAATCAGTTCATTCTTGGTTGGATGTTAATCATCTTCTTTGAGCCATGATTTTGATGGCCCAATATTACCTCCAAACTTGTTGAAATTTGCTGACACATTTTCAATGCTTACGCTTGCTTTTACCTTTCTATGGGATTCAACCTTGGTTGCAAGTTGAACAAGCTTCAAAGTAGAATTGTAAGGATACATATCCACTTAAACCATAATATCATGCCTCAACCCTTGAGAAACCAATACATGGTGTCCATCATCTTTCACAAGCTTAGCTCGCATCGTAAGCATTTCCATCTTGCTACCTTGAAGTAAAAACTTAATTTTCTGAAGAAGGTCCATCCGATAATGTTGGGACACAACACGTGCATGAATAGGTCAAGTAAAGGCTGCCCATGTCTCAATCGGAGGCATTCCAGACCTTGCAATATCATCTTGTACCTTATCCCACCTAACAAAAGCATGTTTCTTAAACTCCACAACAACAAGCTGAACTTTCTTGCACTCTGAGTAATTATGACATGCAAACATCTTCACTTTTCTTTTCCACTTAGAAACTCATTAGGATCAGCCAATCCTACGAAAGGTGGTATGGAGAACTTTATGCACTGTATGTTATCATCAACTTCATTGGCTTGACCTCGGCTCCTTCGGTCATATATATCATCTTCCAAGTCAAATTCATCAAGAAACTCGTTGGTAGCATCCCTTCTTCCTTGTCTTCTTTGGGTGGATGTAGGCCTCAGACTAGTATGGCGTCTTTCGGTAAAATCATCAACTTAGATAGATATCGTATATGGTATAACACTAGTTGAGGTAATGGGCTGCTTGCCAATGTGGATTTCTTCATGTCTCGCATCACTATAACTTCCCCTTTCTTCAAGAGTAATAACCTTATCGAAGACCTCATCAAGTCTCTTCTCGATATTTTGATCAACCTTCCTCGAAAAAGCCTCCGCATAAGCCCTTTCATCGGAGCATCCACAATATCATTTATGTCATCTCAAATAATCTACTTGACTCCGTAGGTTGTGTATCTCTCGTCCTTATTGATCCACTCGAGATGTCACGCTATCCATCTTTCCGCCTAACTCGTCTTTAACATCTTGCATATCGTCGCTTTGCCTATTTATCGCAGCCAAGATAATGAAGCCATACCTGTACTAAAGCAAACTAATATATATATTGAAAGTTAGTCCTTTCCAACTCCCCCTTGATCACACTTGTGTATACCTCTCGACAAATGGGTAGAGTTCCCCAAGCTCTTTAAGTGTGCCTTGCTGAAGTCGTAAAGGTGGAACATGAGTGACGTACGCATTTAAAGTGGACAAAAAACTTTAAACATGAATCAATCAAAGAAAGCACAAATAGTGTCAATTATGCAATGCAAATAACCAAGCTTGTGTGCATTTACGGACTAATGCCCAAACGGACACAACACATGAATGTCAGGCCAATCAAGTCAAGTATAAACACGTTGATTCAGATCTCAGAAACTTCCAAAATCTCCACAAAAAAACTCATAGCCCTTTCAAAATGTGCCAAACGAATATGACAAACACAATCTTGCCAAACTAGAAACCACAAAACTGAATAACCTGACCTCAATTACAAATTCACAAAAAGTGATAGCTATAACGTTTTTTGCACTTCACAACCTTTCCAATGATATATCATACACGAAAAATGGAGCTCGTATGGAAAAAACTACAACTCAAACAAAATTACCGACAAAAAATGCTCTAGTCCTTCCGCTCAACTTTTTTCTTTTTTTTTTCAAAAAACTATTTTTTAATACAATTTCTACTTTTTTTTTTACTTTTCATGGCTATTTTGCGAGGCCTAGGCAAAATAATGAATGAACAATAACTAACTCAACCTCACTTTCAACAACAACAAACTAAAACAACCATCAAACTTGCAAAAACTCAAACAATAGCATGAAGTGTACTATTAAAATAACTCTCGCCAATAAAGTCGTCAGCTTGAGTTTATATAATGCCTATGGATGTATGATGCGTGTTGTACACTCGAAAGCATTGAGGAATCAAATCGTCTATAATAGAAGGCCAAGAAAGACAAAACTTGAAATCAAGCTTATGTCAAAGATTTGCAATAAAAAGCTCATATTAGTAACCACATGAATGCATAAAAAGAAAAGATATCAAAGGATTTTTATTTTTTATTTTTTGAATTTTCAAAATTAAAAATGGTGTAAATTCATCAAACTGATCTGATATCAAAATTAATAATATATGTCATGAACTAAATTGATCAACTACACAAAATACGAAATAAACTAACTCAACGGAACTAACTAATAAAACAACGAAAAAGAACAAATAACTAAATAGAACTAGTTAAGAAAGAAAAAAAAAAGAACGAAAAAACTAAGCGAAACTAATATAGTAAGAAAATGATAATTGAAAGAAAAACCAAACCTAAGTCAATACAATCAGACCTGATACCTTTCTAGCACCGACCATCCTCTATAAAGACACCACATCGGTCGACACTTTGGAGAGCTCTTTCACCTTTCCCAAATACCACGAACTTGAAATTTTATACTCAAATCCGAATTTTAAAAACTAACCCTCATGGAGCACGCAATGGAGTTGCATTCAATAAAATATTATACTAAAGGAGAAGTATTGCAATCAAACATAACTTTCATAAAATGAAATGATCATAAATGATCAAATATTCATAAAACTATATTTTTGTTTGGTGTGTCTTATAAAGCACCCAAAATACATTTATTTATAGGAGTGGGAGAAATAAAAAATGGAAAGATTTTTCTATCTAGAATGAATTATATGAATAATCCCCCAACGAGAGATAACTAGTCTAATGGTTTCCCATGCATGTAACAGACATGTAAATGGTTCTAATCGATGGTCCCCCACTAATACATGTGCAATCTTAGGTTTATTTAATTACATATTAAATCCCCTATTTTAGCATACTCCTACGTTTGTACAATTTTTTCATTAGTTGTTCTATTGAGGCGTTGCAAGCTCCAGCGTAACCTTCACTGTCACGGCACTCGCCCTAGGCATTCCATCAAGTCCTTGCATGTCGTAATATAGTCCATTGGTTGGATTCCAATTCTCTAATTTCAGCATCAAACCTTACAATTTTTCAATGCATGCTTTCGCTTGAGTTCTCGAAACTAGTCCAATTGGAATTTGTGAAATTGCAAGTCTCGATTTTTGTGCATCCATATCAATAGATTCTACCTCTAGGCATCGTAACAGCATAATTACGAATAACACTAGCAGGATTATTAGGTGTGGTTTCTTTACCTCGCAAAGTTATATTTGTTAGTTATTCAGTAATTGCAACAAGGAGTTGATTTTTCAGCGCATTTCCAAAAGCTTCTAGCTTGGTTTCTAGATGGCACTCCACTTGTCAAACTTAATCGTGGATCAAAATAGATTACTTTTCTGCAAAATCAGAGAATTGTTGTTCTAATGCCTTCAGGCGTTAATTCTAAATTTTGACCATTATCGATATGGATATGCTAGCTCTGACCAAATGTCGTGAGTGAAGACAAGCTGTAGATGGCGGCGGAGGGGCGAGACGGACGGTGGCCGGTGGATGGGTGGTCGAAACAGTAGAAGATGAAGGTTTTTGGAAGATTTTAAACTTCAATTTAGCAATTAGATTTTTTATTTTTATTTTTAATTAATTTGGGGAATTTTTATATAAAAGCATAATTATGTATTTTCCCTTCTCCATTGCCTTGGATTGGAATGATCATACCTAAGCTAACCATGCTAATCTATTTTTCATCTAGAAAGCCTACGAGACCACACCTAATATTCTATATTTTTTTTAAAGGCGAAATACTATGTGACCATACCTAAGCAGCATGTTCTAGTTTGTCTTTCCTCCTTAATAAAAACACATTGTCCACTGATTTTCACTTTTTTTTTTTTTTTTTTTATTTATTCAAATAGTTCCCCTACAAGAAAATAAAGATACAAATCAAACATAAGCTTTGTCCAGCTAAGCACTAGACTAATAAAATAAAGGAAGCGACAGACTAAAAGATACATTTTACATTTACAGATACAACAGAAAAATTGCACAAAATGCCCAAGTGACTAACAATATTTTTAACACTAATCGTGGAACAAAATCACCAGATACAACAACAAATACACACTTTTAAACCTACCAAAATTAACTCAAACTACAACAGAATAAGTTTACTTATTAGTTTTTTCAGAATGGAATCAATAAGTCACTCACATAGGGCACTCAGCACAGCACAGCACATACTTTGTAAGCTCTCTATCCACACAAGTCCTGTTGTTAATAGATTGATTAATTAATTATATTCCCGTGTCCTCACCAGATGAAGCCTTTCCGTCTCCGGAATCTGTCAACACGATCGGTGCTCATTCTAGACTTCTCGGGCTTGTTTGTCTTTTTAGACTTGTCTAGCTGGCTATCCAAACTGTTTCTAGATATTTCCGGAAGACCTGGCCTCAACTCAAATGTGTCGGTGGCTTCACCTTGTGTTGTTTTTGTCTTGCTTTCTGAATTAAGAGATGAGGGTGCAGAACCATTTGCTGCCGGTTTTAATTTTCCAAGAGCCAATATAAATTTCTTTAGATGTTTAATGAACTCCGGGTAGAGTTCAAGATTGCAATGGCCACCTCCATTTATCCATAACGGCTCGTATTTCACCTTGCAAAGCTCCCACAGCTGCTTTCCATGTGAACAATCAACCACTTCATCTGCAGTTCCCTGCACTCAATGAATCAACAGTCATGCACTTAAATCATAAAAAAAATTTGCTTGGGCATACATTGCAGGTGTTTCAAGGTATTTGCATATTTAGTGTAGCATCAGAAGTCATGTGGTATAAAGTGATGACAATGGGAAAAAATTCTCATGAGCAATCATATCCATATTATGCAAGGGTTTCGATTTAGACAACATTTTGATTCTAAATCAGAATAATTCTAATTTTTATGTGTTAATCAACTATAAACTCAATTTTATAAGTGAGACTTTGTGAGAGTTAATACAATACAGTCCCTTCAACATGAACAGCACAGCTTTGGCAAGGTTTTACTCATATCTTGGAAAAATTACTGGCTTCCAGAATTGTACTCCATTGTGTTCTCTTTTTAACAGAATTTACTCCTCTCTAAAATACTTCTTCACTAACATACAACTTTTCATTACTTTCTCAAGCTTACTGCATAGTGCATACGAGTATTCAAAACTTTCATGGTTATGTTATAATTCTATCAAAAACAGACGCACCCAAACTTCTTAATTAGTTGAAGCACAGAAGTGCTCTCATTTTCAGCAACTTCAAGGAGTGCCTGAATTCAAACGGAAACTTAAATATGCATGCAGTCACGTTATTAATATGTTCTAAGAACTCATGTAGGAGATATTGTTTGAACATGTCATATAAGAAAACCCTTACGGTGTGTTTGGTACAGGGAATTGACCGCAGAGCATGTTTGTTTGAGTCAGATAAATTAAAGTTGAAAAATTAATTATTTTCGGTTTCTCTTATTTTACTTCTCTTCAATATCCAGAGAAATAGAGATAAATGAATATTGTAGTATTATTTTTGTTTTAATATTTTTATCTTTTTAGTACTATTTAATTATTATAATTTTTTAAAATTATATTATTTCAATTTTACAAAAATCACATAAAATTTATTATTTAAGTATTTAATATTTACAATTTTTTAAAAAATTGTACTAAAATATAATCTTACAAAACATCATATATAGTTTATAATTTTTTTATAAAAAAGTCTGACAAAACTACTTCTTCATAAATTCTAACTTGTTAAAACTCTCTTTTATCCAATTAATCATTTATTCTTTGTTCGAGCTGCAGGTTTTATTTATATTTCTCAACTGAATTCTCTGCATTACTGATTCTCATTCTCTAATCAATTCTTTTTCTCTGCAATTTCATTCTATGTACCCAACGCCTCTTAATTCCAAGTACAACTAAACCAACAGTGCTCGACAAGCAATAAAGAAACAAAAGGGTATGTAAGAATAACTCACATGAATGACAAGCACTGGACAGTTGATTGCACTAATTTTATCTATATTCTGCGCAAACAAAAGAAACAAGAGTTAATATTAAATGTAAACAATCAAAAGGCAGATGAAAGAACATACCTTGTATCCGATCAAAGAAAAGAACATACCTTGTAAATGTCAAACCAGTATGTTCGTTTGACAGGGTACAATACTCTCAACCCAGATAAAATTGGGCTATGTAAAACAACACCCCTCAAGTTGGGTACACGTGATGCAAGATCAATTGTGGGGCCACTCCCAACAGACTGACCATATAGTATTAGTTGTTCATCCTTTACCCCATACTGCTCCTTAAGGCATTTGTACACAGCATCAATGTCTGCGTAGGTATTACATTCAGTTGGCTGTTTCAAAGAAAAACACAGATAGCTGTCATTTTTTGAAGGACCCAATAGTGTATAGATAAGAGAACTACAATGACATAAGTTATTCTAATATACATATACTAGAATACATCAGACCCAAGTGTGTATAGAATCATTTTCTAATAACACATCATACAGTCTAATCAACTCTACTGCATGTTTTTTAAATTGAATCATTGGAGCAAAAAACAAGATAGAATAAAATAACATTGAAGAAAAAGCCTACTGTTTTGGCTAATGGTTTTTTTTTTTTTTTTTTTCCAATTTTCTTTAGGCCTAGTTGACATATAGTTTGATTAGTTAATACTTTAATGATTTCACAATTAATAGAAGTACGTTTGGTTATTACATGTTTTAAATTGTTTAGTTAAGGACTTTAGGGCAGAATTCCCCTTAATAGTTTGCGCAAACAAATAGAAAATTAAAACCTTAACACTATAATTGTTGATTCTATAAAATAAGGAAATATGTGCGTCAATCATAATGGAAACAATCACATGGAGCATTCGATGTTTACATCATCAGAAGATAGGGAGGTTGTACCTTCGTTGTCGAAATTGACATCTACTATCTACGAATCTTAGACGAAGCTAGAACGATGGAATGCATACCTATACAATTGTGGGAGGCTCAACACTCATTAAATCCACTTTGATAGCCTTCTATAATGAATGCACCTAACCAAGTTTCTCTTGGCGAGATTCCACATGGTGACGATTTGACGATACAACTACCTACCTACCATAAATGTCTATTATTTATTATACAATATAAATTCCAACCTTTAAATCACTAAATTTTAATACGAAAGACTTGTTATATGCAATTTAGTTTAATCTATATTTTCCAAATGATTTTGTGGTATTGACATGAGAATCTTGGTATATAACATATTAATGCACTTTTGATTTATTGTATTTACTCAACCGTCGTGTTTCTCTTTCTACAAATTTTTGTAGGTGAAGTGCTTCTGCTAAGTCTAAATTATGCATCCACGTCGCATAATACATTGGGAAGAAATAGAACTATCTCATCTATTAAGATGCTTTTGAAATTACTATTAATGTTTTCAGAACTAACTAATTTCTGGCTTATGTTTTTTATTGAAACCTTATTTATTTATATGATAAGCTGGAGCATGTTATCTTTTAATTTTCTATTTAGTTGTTTGTGTTGGGTATTTAGCCTTAGCGCCACTACATACAATGTAAGGTTCGTTGATTAATGAACGAGCCTTCCAGTGTAGCGTGGCGGTGATACTCCGGCTTGAGCCGACTGTGGAGTTACAACAAAGCTATGCTAGGAAATGGTTGTATCGACTTTATAGAGAGCATAACCAGCTCTAGTTCCTATCAGGATAGAAAGTTTCAGAATAAAAGGCAAGGAAAGGGAAGGATAACTCACAAGAAAAGGTAGCATCTTCACCTAGTGTGGAAAAAGATAGCCCACCAAACTGCGGAAAAGATTCATCGCGAATACAAGTTCTCTTTTACAAGATAAAAAGTTGATTTGGTGTTTTCCATAGTGCTTGGAATGTATGGAGAGGCTCAAGTTGCCTCAGTTATTTCAGAGGTGTGTAACGTGATAATGAACAATGACTTTGGTTGGAGACATTTGGAGAGATGACACAGCTGGTTGTTCATGGGAACTCGGTTAACCAATCAACTTACAAATGAAGCTATGCCCCATAAATCATCCATCCAATACAAGTACTCCAGTGGATGAATAAACAAACAATCCAAATAAATGCATATAGGCAAAACAGAAAAATGAAGGAAGGTGCATCTAGCAGGAACTGGAAAGGACACACAGTAATTAAGTAACAAAAGAAACGGAATTTTGGGGGATGACCACTTCACTTGAAACCACTCTCAAGAGCACAATTCTGATGAAAGTAGAAAACAAAAGACTAGTTTATCCCAAGTTACAAGGAGGAATGGTAGGGATCTAACCTTTCCAGTTGACTGTCCATAGCCTGAGTAATCATACCTGAAGTGATGATACAACGCTCATGTAAGAAACATGCATTATCATCAATAAATAACGAGCAGTCATTTCTCTTATTCAAAGTGATGAAAGAAACATATGATAAACAAGAAAATGCAATACAATAAGTGAAAGTTTTCCTAGTGTCTAGAAAAAATGTTACCCAGACATATACTTTCACCTCATCTCAGATTACATTCTTGAAGATGATAGCATACAATCGCAGACATGAAGCAAATAAATAACTAACGTATAGAAACTCAGCAGAGGGTGGCATTCCAAGAGGGAAACAACGGTTGCACAAAAGAAGAAAGATTGAAAAGAAATGAGATCTCTACCAATCAAAAACAATAAACAACAATCTTGTTTGGAACACCCATAACTAAGTACCTATTCAATAAAAATAAAGGCACGCCACTGAAAGCTAATACCTTAGAACTTCACAAAGCATACTCATCCATCAAAATTTTGTGGTTTGAGTTCTTTCAATAACTACCATGAATCGATCTTATTCACTTAGTTCGTCGGTAAAACTTTTTCATGAAACTTTCACAAAATAAACTTTGTAACCAAACAAGTTCAAAACCTCAACAGTCCGACTATTTGTCCATTCATCCCAATAAAAAGTGTACAAGAAAAGATAAGAATATAAAAATGCAATCGAGAGCAGTCCCTCCTAAAGCCAGCCGTGGAACAATGAGTACCATTTCAAAATTATTCAGAGTGATGCAGCAGCAATCTTCTCATAATCAAATAACCAAATCCAACATTCCTAAACTTAATCTAGAGAATCGGAAACTATTACCCCATCAGATTTATGCGGAGACGGATGGTAATCTCCACAAATAGCTCATACATCTGCCCTAAATCGGCGGCGTTCCCATGGGAGTAGAGCAGAGTGGCGGTGGCTTTCGGGTGCTTGATATGCACCGCAACGACGTCGTTCCCTCTCCGAGTCCTCAGCTTGAGAACATCGACGTCTTCTCTCCTCGGCACCTCCGGTATGGAAAGCGCCACGCCCCGCGACTCGTCCGCCACCACCGTGTACGACGGTGGGCTCGGCGGGAAAAAAGCGAACTTAGCAGCGATCGAAGACGTCACTCCGCCCATTCTCCGCCTTAGCACGACGATTTCCCCTTCCGCGGCGGCTCAGTAAATTCACTTCACAATTCATAAAGAAAGTTCCTCGCTTCTATCCCAGAACCTCCGACCACCCTCTTCCTTTTCCGTATTCAGATCTCCTGCCCGAACAATTGTGAGGAAAGAAGTGGCGGAAGGCGGCGCGTGGTGAGCACACGGCTAGAAGCGAGGGTGGGGAAAAGTGGGAGCGGAAATTCAAAGGAATCCGGAGAATGCTATCTAATGTAACAATAATAATGGCGTCGGGGACTTTTTTGAATGTTGAGAATTTGGTTGTTTTATTTTTTTGTTTTATCATAAATTTTATTCCTTCTTTTCCAATTCAACGAAGTTTTTTAAAATTTTGTAAAACATTAAAAAATAATAGGAAAAAAATTAATTTTAGTGTCAATGTAATAAAAATTTATCAATTTTGGTTTCAATATAAAAAATTCATCAATTTTGGTCTCAATATAACCAAAATTTATCAATTTTGATCTCAATATAAAAAACTCATCAATTTTAGTCTAATATAAATAATTTCAATCAATTTTGGTCCTATTATAAACAATTTTAATCAATTTTGGTCTCACCGTTAAAAAACTAACGGAAATTGCTGACGTGGACATGACGGAGGTGACGTGGCAGCTGACCTGGAAAGTATACGGCCATGTTATTACATGGTCATGTATATTTCAGTGTATAATTATACATGGTCATGTTGTTACACGGTCATGTACAATTGTACACGGCCATGTACATTTCTATTTTAGTTTAAAATTTTATTTTTTTGCTATACTTTTTTTTATTAAAAAAAAATTGAATTTAAAATAGTTGATATAGTTAAAATAGACAAAATCAATAGTAATTATAATATAATTAAAATTTATCAATTTTAATTCAAATATAAAAATTTATAAGATATATTCTTTTGAAATGTTTTATCTAAAATTTTATCATTAATAAAAAAAAAAATTCAAACATTCAATTACACAACTATTTTTTAATTTTGTATATTATAGTAGTATTAAAAATTAATTTATTATTTCAATACATTAATTGGTTGTTTGTAAGAGAATTTTTTTTTTCTAAATAGTAGAATTTTAGACAAAATCTTTCAAAAGAACATACTCGATAAATACTTATATTTGAACTAAAATTGATATATTTTAATTATATTATGATTATTATTGATTTTTTTTTTCATTTTAACTATATCAACTATTCTAAATTAAAAAATATAACAAAAAATTAAAATTTTAGACCGAAACAGAAAGGTACACAACCGTGTAGAATTATACATGACCGTGTAATAACATGGTCATGTATAATTATACACTGAAATATACATGGTCATGTAACAACATGGCCGTGTATAATTGTACATGGTCGTGTAACAACATGACCATGTATAATTATACACTGAAATATACATGACCCTGTAACAACATGGCCGTGTAGAATTTTACATGGTCGTGTAACAACATGGCAATGTATAATTATACACTAAAATATACATGGTCATGTAACAACATGGTCGTGTATAATTGTACATGGCCGTGTACTTTCCAGGTCAGCTGCCACGTTACTTCCGTCATGTCCACGTCAGCAATTTCCGTTAGTTTTTAACGGTGGGACCAAAATTGATTAAAATTGTTTATAATTGGACCAAAATTGATTGAAATTGTTTATATTGAGACTAAAATTGATGAGTTTTTTATATTTGGACCAAAATTGATGAGTTTTTTTTATATTGGGACCAAAATTGATGGGTTTTTTATATTGAGACCAAAATTGATAAATTTTTGTTATATTGGAACCAAAATTGATTTTTTCCCAAAATAATATTACTTCTGTTAGTCATTCAACTTTATATTTATATTTTGAATCATAGTTTTTAATAATAAAAATATTTTTATTTTTAAATTTTTATAAAAATATTATTATATTAGTTATTGTCTTAAAAAATAGCCATCGACATCGAAAAAACATGTCGGAATTGATTTGTTCGAAGGATTTTTCGGCCTCTACATGAAAAGATCCTTGTTATCTTGTAATTAATGTGAAAAGAAGGCAGAATTAAGACTAAGAAAAATAAGAGAAAAACTGGAAATTTAATCAAATTAATAGGAAAAATTGTAAAAAAATTTGGAAGAAAATACAGTAAAAAATATGCAATGACGAATGATGGAATGTGCGCCTGAATCTGAACGCCTGAATCTGAATCTCCCCTCCCGTCCCTTCTTGGATCCTTTTCTTGTTATTTTGTTTTTTGAATTTATTCGGATAAAGTTTTATCCTTATTTCTTCGCCAACTTTCTTTTACTACTCTCATCTCCTCCATGACCAAGCTTCCATCTCCTGTTGGGCCACCTCTTAACCGAATTGGGCCCAATTTGGGTCAGTTGAAGGCTAGGCTGAGGCGTCCTCTTTGGGTTGCATTATTGGGCTAGTTCGAATCTTCGGGTATATACAAATGCCTCCCCAAAATTATCTGGACAAAAATTAATTTGTAGTCCGAATAATTTTGTCAAATTCCCTCGTCTTTTCAAGATCGATTCGCGCGCCTCATCATTCCTCACTGTGTCAGTTCCTTCGCGTCACCCAGTCCTCTCACTACTTTCTTTCGCCCTTTCTTTGGCTAAGAATTTCACACCACTTCTTCTCTCCCTCAACCTTTTGAAAAACTCTTCTCGTTGCCTCTCATTGTCTCATTTTTTCTCTTTCCCAACGACAGAATGACCCATTTCATATTCCGACGGAAACGAACTTGGTGCCCGTTCTTGCATACCGATTTGTCAACTTCCGTCCCCGATTAGGCGATTCCGTGGTGGTTCGCGAGTTTCCGACAGCGATTCCGTGGCGGTTCCCAGCGCGTCATGGTGATCTTTTGTTTGGCTCGGCAATTTCCAACGATGGTTCAACGGTTCTTGCACCACGGGGGACTTCCGATGTTGAGACCAAAAATGGGCACCCAAGCCGGCCAAAGCCCTCTGGTGCGCCCAGGAGAGATGGCTTCGGTGTCCAACGGAGCTCGGTTAGTTCTCGCACCGTTCGCGAAGGGTGATGATAATATACTTGAGGATTCCTTCGACACTTTCGAAGGGGGTAAGCTTTTGCTGGCTCAACATTGGTTCAATCTCAATGTCTTCCCTTCTCGCATATTTCGTCTTCCTAGCGACACTTCAGAATTCAAGTCCTAGATTATTAGGTTAGATTCTTCTTTTGCGGTACAGTGGAAAACTTGGGGTATTAAGGATATGCTGTCATTATGTATTGAATTCATACCCCGTGATAATCTTATGACTAAGGCCCTTTTGTGTTTTTGGAGTCCGAGCATTAATGTCTTTGTGTTAGTGATTTTAACTCCTACCGTACTGGATGTGGTAGTGATTTTAGGTTTACCTTCGAAAGGGGTAGAGCCTCCCTTGTCTGATTCGTGCAGGTCCAACCGTTTCTCCATCCTTGTATCCTATGACAGTAAGCGAGTTCCTTGCTTCGAACATGTTTTCGGGTCTTTTCGATCCTTTGGAGCACAACGCGTTTCTTTTGTGTTGGTTCAACAAGTATTTCACATGTTGTGCGTCGAAAGGATTTGTCCGGGAAGCTAAACCGATTATGAATGCCCTCATATATGGTGCCGAAATAGACTTAGCTTCATATTTTTTGGGTTTGTTATATCGTGGTGTAAATGATTTCCTAGGAAAGCTTTCGGTATCGTCTTCTCGCGAACTGGTAAGGGCAGACCCCTTAGGGTTCCTCGAGTTATAGGCGCGGTTATATTTTCCTAGTTTGATCAGCCCACACCCTAGCCTTCCACCTGATCAGCTTATAGTTTTAGGCCCACACCTTCAGTTGTACCCTTCTGTTAAGGGTAATCTCAATTCTGCAACTTACTCCTTTTTGCATAAGACCGATCGATCTCTAGGTGAGTTTTGCCCCTTGACCGGTCACTTCGCATTCTTTGGTGCTACCGTTCATGTGGCTGCCAATCTTCTCCATCTGATATGTTGGAACAAGTGCTTGACTGCCCGGGTTTTGATCATGGGTCTAGCTGTGGGATCCCGATATAACTCGTTGCTCGGAGAGGTTTACCAGTCCAAATACTGCGCTTACCAATTCGGCTTGGTCCAGGGGATTCCTCTATTCAGCTTTCTTTTACAGTCTTCTCTTAGTTCGGGCTAGAACCTAGGGTCGGCCCTTGTCGATGCTTGGCGCATCTACATTCATGAGCTAGAAGACCTTTTGCACTCGTCTTATCCTCCTGATCCGAGTACTCTGCCTTATTTTGATGGATGGTGGACCGATTTCCTAGCCCACACGGACTTGGCTACTTTACGGCTATCCTTAGTCAAATTGGTGGACGAATGTTCGAGCAACGAGGGATCGTCTAATGTTGTCTCTGAAGGGGTAGAGGAAGTACCCACGCCTTTGGCTACATGTATTCTTTTAATGAATGTGTTGTTTGGAGGCATGTATATATATAACCACTTTCCCTTATACCGCAGGCACGCCTTCTCTATCAAATGTTCGATATGTATCGCTCTCCGCTGTTCAATGCTCTCGAAGGTTGATTATGAAGCCCGCTGTGCCCAAGTCGCGACCAAAACGGCCTATAAAACGGATGGCTCCGTCACCTCCCTCTCCCCAAGTAGCTTCTAAACGAGTTTCCTTTAGAGGGGTAGATTCTTATTCTTTTATAATTGCACAGGATCATCTGAAAAAGGCTACCCCTTTGTCCTCTATTGCCCTGGCAGCGGAATCGCCTTCGTTGTCCTCCCCTGCTCAGGTACGCACTCTCGCATCCCTTTTTTTTTTTTATTTGATCACGTGATATCTCCTAATATTTGCTGCTTTATAGACTCTCCGCGCAGAGACCGACCCTGAACCTGCCGCTAAATCGATGGAGCGGTTTGTTTCTTCGCCGTCCTCTTTTCAGGTATGTAATTGGAGATTACTATGGGTTTACCTTCTTGAGTCGCTTTAATTGGTAGAAATGTGCAGGTTTCTCATGAGACTGTGACTCCGGAGGCAGCGATCGAGTCGGCTCAAACTTATTTTCCTGTTTCGGCCGGGCCTAATAGTATGCGGGTGTCCGCATCTCGGGCTACCCCCTTGATCCCAAGGTGATCCCTGCCGATGTAGAGGCATATTTCACTCAAGGTCTAGCCAATGACGCATCTACTCCTTCGGCCCTCGGGGAACTGGATCATGATCCCTTTGCTGCTTATCAATCCGCTTTACTGGAAAATTCGGGTATTTTGGACACCTTAC